ACAATATGACGAGTGGTAGGCTTTTCGTCAAGATGGCAGCTTAAGTTTAAGTCGGATCTTTCGTACAACTGCACGTTTTTATCAGACTATTTTTAACTGCACTTCATTCCTTATTTTCCTGTTACTCCGCTTTTAGGTGGATGTCTTAATCAAAACATATTCATATCACGGTATCAATTATTAACTGACTTAATTAAATTTTTGTGGTCAATGAGCGAGCCCTTAATTAACAAGATTTACCAAGGCCCTTAATTAACCCCATCTCTCATTGTTTTTTTAAACCAACCTTCATCCACTTGCTCTGTTTTATTTGATTATAAAATTTATAATTTTTTTGGTCATTTTAAAAGCATGTTTTGTCTGTTATATAATATAATATTACCTCCTATCTTAAATACAGGAGCTATTGAAGAGTTTATTTTGATCCTAAATATAAGATTTTAATTTACTTTATCTCTTAAATTTATAATTTTTCTTTAAAATATGGCTATTTATTGTACACATTAAAGAAGCTTTTATCAAGAAGTGATTATAATGCACATGATTAGAAAATGTATTTTAGAAAAACAACAGACATTTGTTACAAATAACCAACTTGACTCTTAATATCCATAAATTAGTTATCAAGCTCTCATATTAAAAATAGATGGTGGTACATTTTATCTCAAAGTAATGAGAACTTGTATAGAAATAATCGGCCAAAAGGAGTAACTAATTAGTGAATAATGAGGAAAATCAAGGAAAATTTTGAGTTAATTTTTGTTTAAGTGGATTTAATTGTTATGATTTAGAAATAATTCTTTGTTATGCATGCAAATACACGGTTTGCTGATGCCAAACACTTATCTTTATAGCCAAATAATATTTGGTTGACTGTTCTTTTTGCGATTGTTAATATAAGATCTTAACATGCTTTCAGGTGCCAATGGTAGTTTGAGAGAGATTGTGAATTATAATAATATTCAGGGCTTTCCCAATCATTTAATAAAAAATTACAGTAACATCCTAGTTTGTTTCATTAAAAATGTCATACACTCACTTCGTTACGCTAACATATATATGTATATGTATATATCATATATTTTGTACCACCTCCCATTGTTAATATAAGAGATATATAAGTAATTTGAAGATGTTAAAAAAATTAGTGAAGATAGTTATTTATAACAAATATATGTTAGCTTTTTTAAACTGCTTTTTTTATTTGTGCTTAGAAACTACTCTTTGGTAAGAATCGCCCTTACAATTAGTAGGGATAATTTAAGAAAAAAGCTATATATTTGGAAAATAAAAAATAGATTGAGATCTTATATTTAGGATCAAATCTACTCCCCAAACTAACTTTTATATCAAGGATTTGAGGTAGTATATTTTTAAAATTATATAGCAATGTTTCAATTTTTCATTGCGAATACTTTTCATTATATACCAAAATTATATATATATATTGCATAAAAATATCAAATTATATTAGGTTTAGGTAGCCATCAGTTTATAACAATATGTTTTTAAAACCCACTTTAATTCTACCTCTGTTTCCTATTCTGCCTACTTCCATTTTTTAATTATACTTCCATAAAAAAATCTTCTATAATATCACACAAGTCATAAAGCAAGTATGAATCCAAAACTTTACTTAAATTAAAGGAACAAGTCATGGATAATTTAACTGTTTGTTTTGCTTACGTCCTCCTTTAATGAATACTATCTCCGGTTCTTAGTATGAGACATGGTTGACTAATTTAAAGAGATTAAAAAAATTAGTAAAGTTAATTATTTGTAATTTATATGTTGTCTTTCCTAGAATACCCTTACTAATGATGTGTATTAGCAAAAACTACTATATGATGAAACTTTTAACATGTACAACTACTATGAGGACTACTTTGAAAAAAATGAATAAATATGAGAGACAAAATGATTGAAATTTTATATTTAGAATCAAATTAAAAGTCAAACTAGCTCTTATATCAAGGACAGAAGATAGTGTGTTACTTGACACCTTGACCTAAATAAGTCTCTTACTTAATTAAGTATATTTCCCTTGAAGGTTTTTTCATTGATCTCCAAAATAACCGACTCAAAATGAAGATACGGACTCACTCATGAGCTAATTTACCAATTCTTTCAGATGAATTATGGAAATCTTTCTCCATAAGATAATTTGCATATGAAATTACAAGCCTAATATTCAGTGCAAAATACTGACTGGATAAAAGTAATGGACAGGTTCAAACACCAATTTACTTTTTTTATTCAAAAAAAAAAAGTCTGGGGAACAAATTTGGTTGAATTAATCCTCAAATGACTAAAACCAATTTGACAATCTCAATCACTTAACTTATGGCTATTTATCTCTTAGTGGAGCGCGTCCTGCAATTCTTTGAAACAATGTCATTTTATATAAGTTTCAATCCTGATGGTACTGGAACTCGAACCGTTTCAGAGACAAAGTGTTTTGTTAGGGCTGGCTCTTGAGCTAGCGGTCTCAAGGCCAGCCCATGGGCTTGAGGTCCGTTTAGCAAAATTATTTTATTTTTCATTTATTTTTATAAAGTGAAAACAAAATCCCAAAAAATACTCATTAAATGCATTAGATACAGCTAATAATTCACCATTCTCATAAGTTTTTCCTTGTTCTTGATGTGGGAAAGATATGATGCTACTAAGTTCAAGTCCTCCTAATGTGTGAAAAAATAAATTCTCTTCAAAAATAAAAATTTTAAGTTTAAATTACTGAAAAATAAAGTATGAACAGTTTTACTTCAATAAATTAATTTATCTCATATGAGTCTCCTTTGAAAGAAATAAGCCATTCTCATTTGTTTGTAATATGTATACTGGATATAGAGGTTGGCACAGTATGAATACTACTAGATTCCAGGTCACAATTATTTCATGAAAATATTTCATTATCTCAACGTCCAAATAATGACATTTAATTTTTTCGCATAGAATAACTTAATTGACCAAATACGAAATACTCAAAAAGAATTCTCCAGAAGCATTTTCTTTCTAAAATCATTCAGCTCGTCAAAATTTTCTCAAGAGGTTCTTTTATCTGTGATTTAATGAATTAAAAGCATAATTCACCAAGCACAACAACAGGAAAACCCAACCGTTGCATCAATGGAAAGGGCAGGCGCTGCGTGAGTGAGTACAAGTGGCATTGAGGGTGTGCGGGAGGGAGCAAGATTTGAGCGAAGTGAGCGTGAGAGAGATTGAGAGTATAGAGCTGTAAAATATTTTACTTACATGTTAAATATTAACTAACTTTTTTTTTTCAAAACAAAAACCTTTGGTGGCTTTAAACAGGTCAGCTCGTTTAATTTTTAGTTCCACATGGTTGGCCCTTTCAAGTCCAATTTACTTCTAGAAACCCCAAATTACGAGTCCGTCTCTCAACTTAAACGGGTTTAAATAAGTCAACCCATTTTCCCAATTCTAAGTCTATCATCATCTTTATTTGCTTTTTTTTTTTTGCTTAAGCTTCATGCTGTGTCTTAGATTTATCATTTCCTTTTGACAGCCCTAAAATACTACAGGACCTGATTCAAAATTTTATGAAATTATAGAGACTGGCAAATTAAATTACAATTAATGACCTCATTCGTTCCAAATCTCATGTGGGTCCAAGCCTTCTTCCACTTTTCAATCTATTTTATTTTTACTACAAAACAAAACGAACAAAACTGGATTCTGTAATTTTTATCCTGAAAATTTAGTTTAATATGCATAATAAATTAAATGGCCATAAAATATTTATAAATTTAATTCAATATATCCGAAATCTGAACATATTTGATTACAAAATATACATATATCACATGTAGCTGTTATATTTTTGTGAGATCGACAACTAAATAACCATCAACTAAAATGCTATGTTGCAGTAAATTTATATAAAATAAAATAATCGCCAAATTTTAGCATTTTAGCAGCAGTGTTTGCTCTTTATTCTAAGTTCTACTTTACTTATCTTCGTCTTCGAAGTTTGCCTTAAAAAGGTAGGCTACTGGTTTCGGAAACAATGATGGGCATGAACTTCTGATTAGGTCAATGATAATATTGTGTCGAAACTTAATCCCTTCCTTTATCAACTTTTTTTCCTTTTGTTTTGTCAAAATTGTTTTATATATATATATATATATGTATCCATATATTAAACCTTCTCCAGTGTATGCAAATAAACTTTGCAATGACTTTGTGTGTATCCACATACATGTGCGCAAAATGAAAATTTAAGACATGAAAAGTTGACATAAATTACGTTCAATTGTGATTTAAAATTAACATTGGTGGCATTACGATTGTAAATTTAAATTTTAAAAGAAGACAAGAAATGACAGAAAGAATAAAAAAACTGCGAATATAAGCAGCAAGAACTTAGCAATATCATTAATAGTATTATTATTTTGTATAATAAAGAACGTCAACGAAAGATGAAAAGATAAATAATCAAATATTTAAAACTACGTATAGAATAGGAGAACGAAAGGCGTCATGGGAACAAATTAAACCATCTGAAGATTTTACCAAGTCTTAATTAATTTGCTTCCTCCAAGGAATCAATCAATTATATGTTATACTACAAACTTCACAATCCTTTTCTTTCCTGTTTTGCCCCCTTTACTATGCTATTCATCGTTTCATACTCTTCCTCATAGGGAAGGGAAGGGTGAACCACGCAAAATATTTTGATGCATAAAAGTATTTTTTTAAAAAAATAAGTTATATTATTGATGAGAAAGAGAAATTCGTAAGGAAGAATTCAAATATAGCAACTTTGATGTGTGAGGTAAGTAAAGGATAATTTAATATGCTAATCGTTGACCTGCTTTAGCCATGGACTAAAGATAATATTAATAATTGATACCTTACAATGCGGATACATTTGTTTTGATTAAGTCGAAACAAAAAATAACACTAATTCAACAATGATGACTCCTCTCTTGAGCTATAAATAGATTACAACAACAAAACATTTGGTCACAACAAACACACAATTCGAAGTTAAAGAAAGGATTTGAGAACGATGAAATGTTCAGTATTTATCTCACTTATTGCCCTCTTGGCCTTGGCTTCCTCCTTTGCTTCTGCCTATGACCCCAGCCATCTTCAGGATTTCTGTGTGGGTGTCAGTGATACCAAATTTGGAGGTAAGCGCACACACACACAAATACCATATATATTGTGCCTCTCTCAATGTTTCTTGTCATTGATTAGTAATATTGAATTGGTTTTGCGCAGTATTTGTAAATGGGAAATTCTGCAAAGATCCCAAGCTTGTGAAAGCAGATGACTTCTTCTTCCACATAATGGAAGGCAACACATCAAACCCACTAGGCTCCCAAGTGACTCAAGTGTCTGCAAATGAATTTCCAAGACTCAATACTCTTGCAACCTCCCTTGCTCGTATTGATTTTGCGCCCTATGGTCTAAATCCTCCCCACATTCACTCTTGTGCCACTGAGCTACTGACCGTCCTTGAAGGAACTCTCATGGTTGGATTTGTGTTTTCCAATCAAAATGATAATCGCCTCTTCACCAAAGCACTCAACAAAGGAGATGTGCTTGTGTTTCCCTTCCATACGATTCATTTTCAGCTCAACGTGGGCCATGACAATGCTGCTGCACTTTCTACTCTCAGTAGCCAAAATGCAGGGGTCATTATTGTCGCTAAGGCTGTGTTTGGATCCACTCCTCCCATCTCAGGTTCCCTGGTTTGTACCTGTATAAACGTCATGGTAATTTTTTATGCAGGCTTATGTGGACTCCAGTGTTATTATAGGTCAGACCGACCAATATCTGAAGGATGCTGAAAAGTATGGAAACATTGAATACATGAGGTGTACTCCAGAAAATGGTTTCTTTTCTGATTTACCATTCGCTTCACGAACAGACGTAATATTTTTCTGTTCACCCAACAATCCCACTGCTGCCGCAGCAACAAGGGAGCAACTAACTCAGCTAGTTCAGTTAGCCAAGGACAATGGGTCTATAATTTTCTTTAAAATTGAGGCTGGAAATTGTGGCTACTGAACAGCTCCCTCTGTTAAGGTGAAGATGACGAGGGTGGTAATGACCAAGCTGCGGTTTTTGATAGTTTTGATGATCTCAGACTGCAGTTCAAAGTGACTACTCTCTAATTCCCATTTCCTTCCGTGTCATTTTTGTTCTGTTTCATCTTGAGATCAGGGGCTTGGATGTCTGTTCAATACTTCCAAGAGAAGCTGCTCTAAACAGAAACCGGTTCTCTCTGGGGCCAGCACCTTATAAGCTCTGGTGTAAGCAGGAATTGGTCTTTGCCTAATTATGGTGCTGGTGTAAGCAGTTTCTGTTGTAGCACATTGTTTAAGTAGAGGTTTTGTTTTTTTGGCCAAATTGTTTATATAGAGATGATTTTAGTGCTGTAGGTTATCTCACGCACTTTGGAATTTCTTGTTTACCTTTTATTTTTAAAGAAGCAGAATCGAGATTTTTTTTGTTCACCAACTTTCCTTGAATATTAAAGTTTGATTAAATAATTACAACAACAACAAGAAGCTTTATTTGATGAGGGGGTTGGTCACATAGACCTCACAATATTATTATGCTTCAAATAATTGCATTGTTGACAAATTATTTTAAACAAGCCTTTTGGTCTTCTTAGATGACATCCGACAGTGATCTTAATATCATTTTCATTTTTTCTGAAGGAGGGAAGAAACTTGGCCGTCTTGAGAGTTGTGACTAATATTCATCTGGGTATCTATAGGAAGAATATAGCTGGAGCTGAAGGGCTACGATTTTCTGTTAAAAAATGCATGAATTTCAAAATATCCTTGTCGAAGATTAGAAATTGCTCATTGTGCTTTCCCCAACCTTCTAGGATCCTATTGATATGCAATTTCTTTGTAGTTGGTGTTATTTCAGTAAGAAAGTTCGCGGTCATTTAAGCTTTATATTCATGTTAATCTAAGAGACAAAGTTTTGGGAAGGTAGTAGGCACGCATCAACGGTGATAAATGCCAAAAGTGGCATCATATAAGCGTCCTTTGAAAAACAAGCAATGCTACTTCCATGAAGGCCATAAAGTGGAAGTTTTCCACATGTGTGTGTGTGTGTGTTTTAAAAAAAAAACATGTTTTTATCCAGATGTTCTTTTTTATTTATTTGGCCAAGAAATTAGCAGCCATAAGGAATTAGGTTAGTGATATTTTGGAAGGGGTAAGATATTCCATTGGAAAAAAAGCATGATATTCAGAGTCTGCTAGCAGGGAAGACATAGCTAGAAAAGTGAGGCTGAGAGAAGTGAAATGTTTTCAAGTTGGTCATGGTGGTAATACTGGGAATTTATTCAGATGATAATATCATTTTTTTTTTCCGGAGTTTATTTACCACATGTTACGCAGAAAGGTGAATTGTGACATAGATGGGATTTTCCTTTTTTATAATAATAAAAAATAATTTTTCACTATTTCATTTTGAGGAATAAAGATTGCATGGTGGGACTATGGCTAATTTAGACTAAGCTTGATGGTCTGAAAGGAGTCACTCTAACATGATATCTTCTTCTCCGGATTAATATATTTTTATTTGACGGATGAAAATAATTAAAATTCTTAAAGGGTGATTGGATTAGTTTATTTTTAAGTGATTTTGTGAGGTAAGTACTACCTCATGTCTCTGATATGAGACTACAAACTAAATCTAATATAATAAATTTTGTGCGTAAAAGAGCTTTTTATCTTTTATATTACTGAATCTCGAACATAGCTTTAAACCCCAAGTCGTACAATCTTGTGTCAGCTTATACACACACACATATATATATTGCTGATATTATCCTTCAATTTCTTTATTCGTTATTAACTTGTATAATGATATTTATCACCCAAAAAAAACTTATATAATGATATTTCAAGCATTTAATTAACACTAGGTTTTCTCTCTCCGAACATACTTTACAACGCTGCTCCAGTTTGGTTTTTTGGGCTATCGATGCTCCAGCCAACAAAACAGGAGAAATTCTTGTATAGTTTAGTTTGAGTGCACCACATCATCCGTGTTCTAACCAATGATAATGCGCGAACTCATCTTTAATTTAATCCTATCTGGCATCCCCTCGTCTCATTCTCACTCCACCTTCCCCCTCCAATTGCCTTCGTGTCAACCTTGCAAAAACCTCCCTTTGCCGTCTTGTCACGTCCCAAAAATTTTCACCTGACTATAAGGGATTAAAATTTGGAATAAGTGTCAATGTAGGAACTAGATGGAGAGATGAAACAACTTTTGATGTGAACCCTGGTAAGGTCCGAGCTGGTGTTTTCGTAATTATCAGTCTAGAATAACAAAATGAGAAAAATTTGAGAGAAATTCTAGAAAATTCCTAAAAAAATGGGAAAATTACAAATTGAAAGTTTTGGAAATTTTTTGAGGTCCAAAAGGTGAAATGACGGTGAAAGCAAATTATTACGGAATTTCCCGTAAACAGAGGTTTTTAGGGAAAATATTAGAAAATAGAAGAAAAATAATTATTTTAATTAGTTAGAAGCTTCAATAAATTTGAGAAAAATATGGATAAATCATATAAATATTTATTTGAATTTATAAAATTGGTTTTAGGCTTTGGAAGCTCAGGAATAATTTTTAGGATATTTATTTTCTCGCAAGGACACTGATAAAGGCCTAATCGGAGAAAATTCAAAATAAATACCTAGAGGTGGTAAAAAAATTCTGAAAATTTTCAGATCATGTTTTCATATTAAAAGGTGAATTATTATGGAGAGAAATGAACTTTTGGAAGTCTGAAAAAATTGTGGAATATTATTAGTGAATACTAGCTGATAAAATTTTAAATTGGTTTGAGATAGTGATTTGGTTTGTGGGTTATCTTTTTGGGCCAGCCCAAATCAATTTTGGGGCCCATATTGAACCCAATAAGGGTCTAATTTTGTGCAGCTTCCAAGTCCCTCTATTTTTATTAAATAAAATGTGAAATTAAGGGATAATTGTGTGGAAAAATTTAGAGAAAAACCACTTGGGATGATCTGATTATTTTGACACTTGATGACTGCCACATAACCCCCATGAGGTGTCCATTTTCGGCCAAATTAGGAGGAAGAAGGGCAGATTGATTTTTTCTATAAATACTCTCTTGGAAAATACAAATAAATGTTAGAAAATTAGAAAAACAAGGAGAAACTCTGTCACTGTAGCTCCAGCTCTATTTGTTCTAAAATTTCAAGTGTTTTAGGCAAGGAATCATCCAACTCATACCAAGGAAACATTGAGGTATGTCTAAGCATCATTATCCCTAAGTTTTGTTTTGTATTGATTGGATTAGGATTTTGGCTTGGAAACTCATGGGAAAATACTGTAAATTTCAGTCCAGCCATGTAATGCTTAGGGAAGGATAAAAACCTTAATAATCATGTGGAATAAGAAAGATTAAGTGTATAAATTGATTTTTGGAAGAAATCAAAGGTAGGGTTTAAGGGGAGGAATTTCGGCCAGTATTGTTCATGCAGGAGCTGATTTTTTTGGCTTGATTTGATGATTCCAATGGCTTTAAAACATGTTTTTGTGTAGGGATATGATATTGGGAAGTGTTTAAAGTCATTGGAATCAAAAATAGAATTTTTGGAAGCATATAACCCCCTATTTGGCCAAACCAAGTTCATGGGGGAGGAGTGTGAATTTCAAAAATCTGATTGCACCATTGGATTCCTCATAAAAAATTGTGCAGGATTGAATCATGAGATGATTGATTCTATAGAAGGAATCATCTTGTTAAAAATCAAAGAAAAAGGGGGAAATTGCTAAGTTAAAGTGTTGTAATTAAGTTGTTTAGTGTTTAATGTGGCCTATGTTTATACTTGGTTTAATAGGCATTGTAGGAGGCATCAAGGAGAAGCTTTGTCTGTTGAAGTAAGCTTGCGGACAAGTGTTAAAAATGTAGCTTTGAATTATAATTTGATTGTTAATCTTGCTTGTTTAATGTGATTTGTTGTTTACTTGGATAGAGGAACTTGTGTTGTGGTATGGATCAGTTGAATACCTTGATTTATGCTTTGACCAAATGCATTGAATTAGACCGTTGTGGAAGTGTTGATGTTCTTCTTTTAGCATGACATTAAGAATGTTTTTATGCGGTTTGATTGTGTCTTGAGATGAGATAACATTTCACATTGTAACTTGCTTGATTTACATGATAATTGTAATTCAAATGCTACTGAGATTTTGTAGAAATCTCATTCCTCCTATATTAAATTATGTCTCAAATAGGGAATGATTCATCTGATGGCAAGGCAAGGAAATGGTTTTGGGATGAAGGAGCAATAGGGAATTCATGACATTTTTAGAAAGTTGTGTATTGTTTTAACAAGTTTGATGTTAATTGTAATAAATTATGAATGATAATATGATGTAAATTATGTTTGTATGACATGCCCTGATATTGGAATATCGAATGGTATCATGTCACAAGAACAAGGACAAAGAAAAAGGGAAGTAAAAATTAAAGAAAAAGGAATTAGGGGATAAAATCCCCCTAAATAATGCCAATCTTGTGGCACATAAAATAATAAGCAATTGTTAGAATTTGGGCATGAAATTTATATAGGCTTATAGGTCTTATTTTTAGCTTTAAAACAAGTGGTAAACCATTAAAATTGGAATTTTGTGCTAAGAGTTATGCCCTTCCAAAGTTGGGCAAAAATACTAGAAATTCGAAAATTGACCATATGAACAGTGTACTTTGTCAAATTTTCTGGTGCTATTCTGAATGAAATTGAGTCTAATGAATACATTTTTTTTATAGAGCTCTTATCAAGCTTCGTGTAAAAATTGGAACCACCTCATTTTGATTTTTTTAGAATTAGTTATGAATTTTCAAAGTTGGCCCATTTTTCAAATGAACAGTGTACGAACAAAATTAATGGTAAAGTTTGCAATTGAAATTTTTCATCCAGAAATGCTTCAAAACACGTTATAATGGTTCTAACTATCGTATAATGAGTTATAAAGAGAGGTGTGACATGCCTCCTCTCCTTTCACCG